AGGAGGGGGAGGGACGGCGGGGGAGGGGAGGGGACTTCGGTAGCGTAACTAACCGTCTGGCTCTTTCTCACTGTTATTGGCATTTGCTTCGTTAACTTCAAACAGCACATGACGTGCCTCATTCATGAATAGCCCGAAACAAGACCCAACAAAGTTCTAAAGCGATTAGCTGAAAAGTGATTCAAAGGGATGATCGATTCCCATACCAGCATTCTTCACTCCCTGTGAGCAGGGCATCTTGGCACCTGACCCCTCCCTCAGGGCCTGTCCAGAGACCAAGGTCAAGGCTCTCATTTTACACGTAAGACAGACACACAGAAAGGAGAAGCAGCCTCTGGAGGCTGCCACGAGTTCATACCCCGATGTCACAATTCTCAGCTCCTGCCCCCTGCCCAGGTGTCTGTCTCTGTGTTCAAGGACCCGGGGGAGGACCCCGTCTGCCAGTGGGGTGCCCTGAATACCCCCTGGCTTATGTTTCCGTTGGAGATCGTCTGCTCCTTCTCCCCAGGGCCCTGCCCTCCTCATCCTGCTGGGGTCCCCTCCCGCACGTGCGGCGGAGCGTGGTGACATGCCTGCATCCTGTGGGGTGTTTGTGTGCCCCAGCTGTGGAATGCGACTCACGCGGCCCGCCTCGCTCCTGCAGGTGTGAGGTAGTTGCAAAGCCAAGCTCCCTACAGGAAAAGCTTGTAACGGACAGCTCGCCAGAAACGCGGGTGCATGCGAGGAACTAGCGTTTTGCCTTGTGTATGCTTTTTCCCCCAATTCTCTGCTCAGTACTTTTCAGTACTTTGTATAAATACTATTTTTTTTGTGTGTGTGGTAACCCGTAATTAGGTTCTTCCTGATGTGTGTTGCTCTTAATTTCCCATAAAGATACCAGTACTTTCCTAAAGAAAGTTTCCATTTATTTACATTTGTTTTTAAGTGAATAAATTAAAATTTTAAAAAATGGGGGCGGGGGGGAGAACCCCACCCCGTCCTTACAGGAAAGTTTGAGCGACAGAAGGGTCAGGGGGGTGAATAACCCTGAACTTCTCGAACAATTCAGCTGAAAGACGATGCTCCGTGTGTGTGAGTCGCGTGGTGTCGCCTTGACCAGCCGCTGAGTCTGGCCCGAGGCTGTGCTTCTTCTGGAAGGCGGGGCTGGCCGGAAGCCCCCCCAGGTCTGACCGTGCCCTGGGACTCTTGTCTTGAGGAGTTGACGGAATCTGTTCCCCTCTCCCCTTTCAGATCCCACGCTGTGGAGTACGGACCACGTCCGGCAGTGGCTGGAGTGGGCGGTGAAAGAATACGGCCTCCCGGACGTCGACGTCTTGCTGTTCCAGAACATCGACGGGAAGGAGCTGTGCAAGATGAGCAAAGACGACTTCCAGAGGCTCACGCCGAGCTACAACGCCGACATCCTTCTGTCCCACCTCCACTACCTCAGAGAGAGTAAGAAGGGCCCCGCTCAGCACACGGGTCCCTGTCGCGGGGTTCTCGGGAACCCCGGCTGCAGAGGGCTCGGCCCGGCTTGCCGACGGCCTCTCTCTGCCCTACCCCAGTTCCCACTTCGGACCTGAGAGAACTAGACACTTCGAAGGTGACGCCTTAGGTGAACGCGTGTGAGAAGTAGCACTCTTAGGAGAAGCCGAAGTCACTTTAGCTTTCGGCTGCCTCCTCCGGGGTCCCCCTCGGCCTCTGAGAGATCACACATCGGAGGGATAGGAAGCCTTATCTGGTCACATGGTGTCTCGTCTCCGTGGTGCCCCAGATGAAGCAGACACGCCACGGAGGGGCTGCCACCGGGTGGGGAGGACGGGTGTGTGTCCCCTGCAGCGGAGCCAAGCCCCCCTTCACCCCACTCGAGCACAAAGTGAGGGACCTCTTCACCTGTTCTCATGACACGTGGCTTAACCGGACAGAGTGGGGATGGCACACGTGGCGGTTAGAGGCATGAATCCACGGAGTCTGCTGCATGCTTTCATTGTTCAAACGTCGAGCATGGTCAGAAGGAGAGAGTAGAGAGCGTGTGAGCGGGGGGCGGTGGGGACTCTGGTGTAAACGCTTTGCCTGGCATCCCAGCCACTGACCCCCTGAATTAAACACGGGCCCGTCTCGGTCTTAACACGCTAACACGCGGCGGGGCCATGCAGAGGGTCCGCAGCAGCCCTGCGATGTCAGGGTGGGGGCGGGGGGCGTTTCTCTCTCTTTCTCTCTCTCTTTTTTTTAAGAAAGGTGACCCCCTCTCTCTCGTTTTCATTTCGATGTTGCTGTTCGTTTTGTTTTCTAGCTCCTCTTCCACATTTGACTTCAGATGATGTTGATAAAGCCTTACAAAACTCTCCACGGTTAATGCATGCTAGAAACACAGGTAATGCTGGCCCCGCCCCTCCCCCAGGACGAGCTGGCGCCGGGCGCAGGCTGCATGCGTTAGAGGTGGAACGCGGGATGCTCAGTGCGGCGGGAAGGCAGGAGGCAGAGCTGGACGGTTGAGGGCTGTCGATGTGTAGGCGGCTCTGTGCCGAGGTCCCACGGCCCCAAGGCGGGGGGCGCCCTTTGGTTTCTGCCCCCCGCTTCCCCCCAATGCCGCCCGGCCGCCTGACAAAGGATCCTTTTGAACCAGATGTGCAGAATTACCTTTAGCCACGTCCTCAGCTCACATCTGCTAGATTACAACCTGCTGGTGCTCGTCCCTGGAGACGCGGCGTGCTGACCGTACAGTCTAGGAGCATGTTCGGGATGAAGGGGCCCTGAACATGCTCCTGTTTTTCTTTCCTTTTTCTATTTCTTCCCCCCTCCCCCTCCCCCCATTTTTATTCTTAAAGGAACGTTGACTAGAACAGCAGGAGTTTTATTTTTTTTCCCTTTCGGGTAAAGTTCTAGGCCGCTTGACTCGTCTTGACGTTAATCTTCTCGCAGACTGTACGTTTGCAAAAGGCAGCGGAGGGGGACGAACGTCGTCATGTCGGTCACTCTGAGCTTTTGTTGAAGGGGAAGCGGCGTTATAATTTGGGAGGATGTGAAATGAGTTACTAACCAAATCCTGCTGTTCCACCTCTAACCATGAGTCTACGATTTGTATGTTTATTTTTTTTGCCTGAGCCTCGTAGTCTAACATAGTGCTTCACCCTGCCTAACCTCCGCCCCTCCCCTCACAGTCGAGGCTGAGGGTAGAGGCCGGGCTTTCGGCAGAAGAATGTGCTTGTGGTTGGCGTCCACTTTCTCCCTCCCGATGGTGACAGCTGCAGAAGCATGGCCACAGGGTGCTCGCCCTCCCTCTCAGCCTGCAGGGGACCCTCTGCCACTGCTCAGGCTAGGGATCAACCACCACGTGCCGGCAGGGCTTAGGCTACCCCCTCGTCAGCAAGCCGGCCAGCTCACGGCCAGCCCTCACGTAGAAATACAACAGCGTTCCACCTGTTTGCCGTTTGGTTTCCAAATGCACGATGTGAGGGACTCCAGGTTTGAGGATCACAATGAAATTGCTTGTTGCTCTTGATCCTCGGTATTCAGACCATTGTGCTTTTAATCTAAAGTTAAAAAAAAAAAAAAAAGAAAGAAAGGAAGAAAAGCGCTTTGAGTTGGTGGTGTATTTTTTTCAGCGTAGGTTGACACGCATTAGCTTATTAATGACCTTGAGGCCAGAAATAACAAATAACTGAGACAAAGTCATTTCCCTCTCTTAGGAAACACCTTTGAGCTACACATAGTTTCTGATAATTTCATGGTCGTTTAAAACCATTTTAACAGCGAGCGAAAGTTTCAAGAAAGCTCTGATTTTATTACTTTTGTTGTTGTTAAACGTAGAAGCAATCAACGGACAGGACAACCCATCCCAAAGGGACTGAACTGCAAACAGGGAGCGTTTGTCTGCTAACGCACGAGCGCTGATCGACAGAGAAAGAGAAGCCTGTGTTCGAACAGAGTCGTGAATTAGTTTTGAATGGGATCCATAGAGTCTTTGGCAAAATACTTAACAATTCTTCGGTACTACTTTCTGAGGGCTCTGTAAAAGATTTTACGGGTTTTTCGTGCAATTTCGAAATTAAAACACACAACCGTAGAATTTTTTTAATAAAGCGGGATTGCTGGGCCCGTGGTAAGGGACAGAAAGACGGACCTCAGCCGGAAGCTGTGACATCAAGACACAGGGCACCTTGTAACAAGTGGGGCTCAGCCGGGCTTCCGGTCTGCTTCCTTGTCCAGAACCTGTTCTGACCCGCGTGTCGTCCATTCCCCCCGGAATCTGGTCGGCGGCTTCGAGCAGGCCACCCCGCTTTGTTGTCATGGGCGACCTAGACTGGGCAGTATTGCTGAGCTGGACCAACAACCACGACCAAAGACCTTCACTTGTTTTGTCTTTCCTTTTGTCTGCAGGGGGTGCAGCTTTTATTTTCCCAAATACTTCAGTATATCCTGAAGCTACGCAAAGAATTACAACTAGGCCAGGTACGAAAACACCCCTGTGTGATCTGTTCACTGAGAGACACCCCAGGATGGCCCGTGCGATCCGTGACCTAAGTCACGTGATACCAAGAGAGCCGGTCCTGGAGCCGAAGCGAGTCCTAAACGGTCTTATTTCTGCCTCTGTGGGTCTGGAGCCTAAATTCAGTCAGACTGTTGTATTCAGAGATCACACTCACGGTCCCCGAACTGTGGAATTCAAAGCAGATCAGCCCCTCAGCTAGCTGCTCCGAAAGTCAGGCGGGCAAGGCGGCGTCCTGGACGCCCAGCGATCAGGGCTCCGTTCGCTTTTGAGTCAGTCGAAGGACTTGCGTGTAACCTGTCCCTCCTCGGGGGAGAGGCACAAAACGAGAGGAGCCCCCGAACACGAGCACCCCATTCCTAGACGGCACTTCTCTCCAACCCTTACTTTACGTCTTTCCCAGGGACTGAAAAGTGCAGGTGGTTCATTTCCATGTCATTCACAAAAAATATATATATATATGTATCAAGTGCCTGTTAGTGCCGAGCACGGGGTTGGGTTCCACGAATGCAAAGATGAACCAGGCTTCGGAAGGCTGGCCGGTTCATTCCTCAGGTGCGCGTGGAGCGTCCCCTCGAGCTGAGCCCGTCGCGGCGGGTGCCAGGGACGCGCACTCACAGGCCCACGTGCAGGGTGAGCCAGATGCTCCAGCGGAAGCACGCAGAGCAGACAGAGGCCACGCAGCAGTGGCCCAGGGCTGCAGGGAGGCAGACGCGTACTGGAGCGTGGGCCCAGAAATGCTGGTCTGACACTTAGAGCGTGGTCAGAGGCTCGACCTCCAGCCACAGACGCTGAAGGATCGGGAAGAAAAGTTTGCCCTCCACGAAAGGAGGGAGGTCCAGACAGACAGACGCCCGGGGAGGGGTGCGTATTTGCCAGGTGTGGGTGGGGAGGACCTTCCAGACAAGGGGCAGCAGGCCTGAGCCGTCTGCCCCCTCGCCAGATGTACCCAAGCCCCAGAACCTAAGGGTTGTTATGCCAGCTCCCCGCTGAGCAAACACGATTCGGGGATGTGGGCCGGTTCTTCCGTATCCACACATCATCTAGAGCTCACGTCTCCTCAGACCCAGGCTGTTGCCCTTGACCTGCGCACAAGTCCGGGCTCTGTGAGTCTCAGGTGGAACTGGTCCGAGGCCCTAAGCTTGGTGCTACTGTTTCTTTCCAGTGAGGAAGACGAGGGTGGGGGGTGGGGGGCGGCAGTGAGCTAAGCGGCATGAACGAAGACACTGCTCGGCGTTGTTCTCACCCAGACCCTGCCCTGGGTCTGCCGTGGCGACTTCAGGCTGGCGATTTTCTCTCCTCTAACCCCAGAGAAAATACTTGCTGCCCTGTTCATAAGAAGCATGGAGGGGTGGCTTAGCCAACGTGCTTCCTTAACTGTCATGTGAGATGTTTGCTTGCTTGCTTGCTTGAAGCTATCTCATAGATGCCTCTGACTGAGTTATAAACGCCAGGAATTGTGAGCTAGTGTTGAGTTGAGTCAAAACACCATGACGTTGGCCAAATGAGCTGGCATTGTCCAGTGGTCAGAGCAGCTGGTGGGGGCTGCCTGTGGCTATAGAGATAGAACAGTGGATCCTGGAGCTGCATTTTTTTGTCGTATTTTAGGATACGGTGGATTTGGAAGATCTGGCCCGTCCAGGGTTTTGAGAGGAGTGTGGCTGGGAGGGTGAAGGCTAGGTCACCATCTCTGTGTGTCAGCTGAGAGACAGTCCAGGGCGGCAAACTCAGATGCGCCCGATGTGGCTCTGAGAACGTTCTTCCTTGGGCCATCGTTTGTGTGTGACCTGGAAGAGATCACACCTCCATATTTCTATCGTCAGTAAGGTATGTTTCTGAGACTCAATTCATGTCAAAAAGAACCTGTTTTGATGGCTGCCGCTATGATGACGAAAGGAGGATCTGGCCCGGGTTTTGAGAGGAGTGTGGCTGGGAGGGTGAAGGCTAGGTCACCATCTCTGTGTGTCAGCTGAGAGACAGTCCAGGGCGGCAAACTCAGCTCAGACCGATGTGGCTCTGAGAACGTTCTTCCTTGGGCCATCGTTTGTGTGTGACCTGGAAGAGATCACACCTCCATATTTCTATCGTCAGTAAGGTATGTTTCTGAGACTCAATTCATGTCAAAAAGAACCTGTTTTGATGGCTGCCGCTATGATGACGAAAGGAGATGCCGATATTGGTGTCTGAGTTCTAAGGAGTTTGAAGTAGGCAGAACAAGGCAGGAAACTATCTGCTGTAAGCTAGATTCAGGGCTTTGACCTTGGAGAAGAGAATTACTTACACACGTTGGATGGAGCAGTGAC